CTGTGAAAAGGCTGCTAAATACATACACAAACTATTTACCACTAGGTAGTTATTCCAACAGGTAAATTTGCATGAAATGTGTTGAAATCACATCGTTATGCCTAATCAACAATATTCCTGGTCGAACTCGTTGCAAAACAGAGTTTTTTAATTCTTTTGCAGACGTTAAAAGTATTTGGCTGACTACGGTCGTTCTACCGTCAAACAATTTACTGAGCAAAAAAATTTAAAAAAATACGTTTTGCGTTTCATCTATAGCTACCTACCCTTTTAATTTTCATTATCTTTTGTGACGAAATACCGTTAGCCGCAAAAAAAGCTTTTGGAATGAATTTACTTTGCGCGATAGAGGGATTTGATTAGAATAATAAATTATTCTTATTCCTCTAGTCATCTTGTTTTTTTTTTTATACAGCAATTTTATACAGCAATATAAAAATTGAATTTCTAAAAGTTACTTAGAATTACACGCGTATTCAATGTTTTCGCATTACTGCAAATATAGACCTACAGCTTTTAACATATTCTGGAGTCTCTTTGAAATCCACGCAACTATTCAGGAAGAGCAAGTAAAAAGATATAATTTATTGCTTTAGGCAAATATCAAGCTGACACTTTGTCGGAAATCCAACACAAAAAAGCCTATGGCGCTTTCCTTAATTGATATTTGCATATTTCGTAACTCGCTTTGGTAGCTAAGCACTTGGTCTCAATCGGCAATCACGTAGAACGTTCTTCTGACGCTTGCTTCAATCAAGATTCAAAAGTGATACTTAGAGGCGAATCGTTTGGTGAGTAAAAGCTCTTTAATCCCTCTAAATCGATTATAGATATATTTTTTCTGCACGCACATAATTGGAAGGAAGGTTGAGTAGTTGTACAGAGTTCTGGGACTTATAGAGGGGGAAAACTATATTTCCTCCGGTTTCCAATTTCGTGACAGGTTACCATTAACTAAAAAAAGGATACTGATTTCAATTATAAGTTGACCATCTTATCAGTAGTTCCTCTGTCAGCTTCCAAGTGAAACCCAGATGATAAGCAGGAAAACTCTGTGGATAAGGAGAGCTATTCAACATGATCTGCTTTGAATTCTTTAATTGGGAAACAGTTCGTTGCGTGACTGGAAGTTTTCCTCCTCTAGAAAATGCTAGGCCACTACAGACCGACAAAATATTAAGGCAAGTAGGCTTATGAAGCTGGGTTAACGCCTACTTTCGCGATTTGACTTATAAAGTATAATTGTGTATTATTTGTTACAAGTTCCTACCGGAAACTAACGTAGTTTTAAAGAGGGACCTTGAGTAGTGGAACTAAAAGAAATGCTTTCGTAATTTCAGAATATTTTTCATTTTAAGCTTCTGTTTCGTGCCGTCACGAAAGAACTGTATGTGACACGCATTCATAAGAATTTACATAAACTATCATAATTACCGGCGCTTGATTTTTAATTTCAGTGTTCGTAACGACGAGATTAAGAATCCAAAGTTTAATCGGAGCTGCATTTCAAGCCATCAGGTAAATATTGTTCATCTTTTCCGCTTTCTTTATATTCTCCTATTTTTTATTGCTAATAGCGTTTTTTTTTAAGATTTGGAAATCACTTGCGTTTTGAATAATTTAGTTAAGAACCTTTTAAAAAAAGTCGAGCCTTTGATAGCCGAGTGCCGTCAACTGACGAAACCGCTTCGATATGTGTGCCATGTATTAGACGTGGTCTCACCGTTTCACTGCTTTTAAAAAAAATCCTTAAGTTCTAACGTCAATAGAATCTGTGAGTGGGCCTCAGACTACTTTGTAAAATAAATTCTGCTTGCTTCACCTTCTTAAATTTGGCAGGTTTACTAAACAGTGGCGCTTGGCGATTAATCGAGGAATACAATGTGCCAGGAATGGGGCAAATCCTCGCTTTATTTTAAAAAAAAATTTTTTTCTTTCCAACAGATATGCACGATGCAAAGATGAAATTTCACTTTAAGTATTCGAAATGGTTTAAAAATACCTTTGTTGTCTTGACTCTTTTGCTACTCACAACTGGATGGTATCTTTGGAACAGATCAGATGAAAATGATGACGGAACATCATCGCCTCTGAAAGACCTCTCTACGAATAAATCCTCCTTGGGTAAGTAATTTGAATTAGTAGGTGAAATAGCGATTCAAAGTGGCCAGATGTAAATGGAAATCAAAAAGTCTAATGAGAGAGGCCCACTTGGGAATAATTTAGTCTTTAGAAATTGGTTTCGTGGTAAAAGCAAACGTTAAGTACACTGATAATGACGTTCGGTTTAAAAGTAAAACTCGCGCACAAAAATCAAACATGTGTTAGTTTCTGCGTGGCCCAAAAATATTCTCGTACGTTTGTCTGAGAAAGGCAGACAAATACATATTGCGTCATAAGTACCTGAAAAAGAAGTACGAATCACTGGAAAACGAAAGTCGGCTGGAAGTTCTTGTTCGACCATCCAGCTCTTTTTGTCGCTTAGGCAGGGTGGACTTAAGGCGCAGAGGCAGGATCTGTTATTCAGTCTCAATATACAGACTTATAACAGCCAAATATTCCTGTAAAGAGTACCTTTCTCGCCGACAAAGGATTTTTTTCCTTCAAGGATCTCGAGACTCTCCATGTCTTCCTGGTAGAATTCCTGACAGCTTAACCAAACTGTATGAGCTCTACAATGATGTTCAGACATTTGTCATGTTCATTGGTTACCCTCGAAGTTCTCACAGTCTTGTAGGAGCTATTTTGGATGCTCATCCTGAAATAATAATTCCTCACGAGTATCATATCATAGAGCATTGGAATTCTTTCCAAGAAGAAGCAATCAAGAAATCCAGTTTGCTGAAATATCTCCTTTTCTTTAATCTGCACTCGTTATCCACGTGGCAAGCCACCTTTGGTAACCGAGCAGAAAAACCTGTCTTCATTGACGATGGTATATATTCTTACAATGTCCCTGGCTCTTGGCAAGGGACATTCAATGACAAACTTAGGGTAAGTTTTACTCATCCTATTATCCTGTAATGCTTTGTTACTTGTGCAGCCAAAATCAACCAGGATAAAATCATCCAAAAACAAGAAAAAAAGCATCCTAAACAAGGAAAAAATTACGGTTTTTAAGCTCAGAAATTTATCCAATTACCGTTATCTACGGTGAAAACCATCTAGCCGTCTGATGAGAGCGGCACAAAATCCACTCAGCAGGCATAAAAGACGTCAGGAAGTATTACATAGTACTGCAGAAAGAAAATCATCATGAAGAAGCTAAACTTGAGTAGATATTGACCAATGGAACATTAACAGAATAAGACTAACACGCTCAGAGGTTTAACGTTCTCACTTTTTAGAGGATGTACAATCAAGATAATCTATCTTATTATGAATCGAAATCTAGGTTATTGGAGACAAGAAAGGAGGTGGAACGACAATGGAACTTACTGAAAAACCTGAAAAGTTTGCTGCTCTTAAAGAACTCAATGAATCGCTTGGCATTTCTTTAAGGTTTCTTCACGTCGTCAGAAATCCTTATGACGTCATCTCCACCTGGGTACTAAGGCTTTTCAATTTACGGCGCAAAGCGAGCGATGGATTACCTAAGGTGAGGTCTAATCCTTCGGCCGATTAAAGTTAATTTGCATAGCATGTAAAGCACCGTTGTAAGGGATCAGTCCTTCGATACCTACGCATTTTATCTCTTGCTGTAATTAGAAACTTAAAAGTATAACTTATGGAAAATGTGGAATAATCTATGGTGCTCAAAATAATTTGATCCAGTAAAAACGTTTATCTCTATTTTTTTATCATGAGTGTAGCTAAAGTTGTTCTTAGGAAACCACAATCATCCCCTTCCTTTTCTAGTTCAGGTTAGTGAAAACGCGCAAATTCGAATATTGTACAATGATGGCATAAGTCATTTCCCGGACACTCCATTTTCCGGTTCTTCCCGCCGCAAGAATACGGGCCTGCTGATGTACAAGGTGGACAGCAGTATAAGCCACTTCTCGTGCTTAAACTTGTGACTTTCCCTCCTGTCACCTGACTTCCGCTCGAGTTGTCGAAACGTCAGTTACCACTTCCGACAATAGTCCTTCTCAGGACAACACTTACCCAGACGCTCAGACTATACTACCGCACGATTTGCTAACCTTCCTGGGTGTTTAGCTGCGAAATATTAAAAAGTACACAATCTTGATAGCTAATTTACTAATAAATTTAATGTTTGTCCTCTCTACGATTTCGCATGTGAAACCTCGCAATCAAATATCTTGCATTAATATGTGTTTATCACACAGATAAATAAACCAGCAACGCTTGATGGTTTTATAAAGTCTTTCTTCGAACTGGTTGAGACAAATGAAAAAATTCGACAAACGTATGGCGATGACACAGTATTGGATATTTTAAGTCACGAACTGATATCAAAACCTAAAGAAACAATGATGGCAGTATGTAAATTTCTTGACGTCACTTGCAAGAGCGATTATCTTCAACAAGCTGAAAGTATCCTATATGGGAAACCGTCTATTACAAGAACATCGGTCGCGTGGACTGAAGAACAGAAGCAGAGAGTTCAAGACGAGATGAGAAAATATCCACTCTTTCAGTCATTCAGGTTTGAAGGGGAATACTGATAAAACAATGAACTTTGCAAAAACCTTACCTGGGTCCCCCCGAGTTGTCGGAATACGCTAGTATGATGATTGTTAACGTCACAGCTGACTCCTCAGTCGATGCGTGTTGAAGTCCTTTATTACTAACTTTCACAGCCGTCGAAATTTGCTGGAATCTTTAAAAAAATACTATTCGTCTTCACGTCACGTTTTTTTAAGGTTCCCGATCCCAGAACGTAAAAAATACAGTTCATACTATAGAGAAGCGACATTTTCAATGCTGTGACTGAGATATTTTATCTAGTGATAGAATGGCATTAAGCAGATGTGTACATTTTAATTTGTTAATTAATTTAATTTTCGGAACAGAGTAGAAGCGAGCCACTGAAATACATAAGGAAAAAGTTGGTTTAATTGCATGACCGACTAACTAACAGACTACGTTATTGACAAATCTACTAAATTATAACAATATAACTGATCGGTTGACTAACCGAGTAACTGATTACTGTGTGACTTATTTAAATGTTTAACCTGCATCCGAAATGCTTAATCATTAACATAGCTATGGCGTCTTTTTTCGCTTGAGGTAAAGTATCCAAAGATCAAACACTTTTGTTAACCCTTTAACTCCCAGATCTCACAAGCAGTTCTCCTTATTGTGGGTCATGTAACTATTAGATGTTAGTTCGGACAATTAGGTATTGGATCAACTACTGATCCCCTAATTGGTATTCTTTTTTGTCCTCATCACCTGTCAGCTTGATATTGTTGTGATATTGTAAAGAATAATTCTGTCTTGGTCACCCATGGGAGCTAAAGGATTAGACACTTTGGAGTCAGGTTTGAGTATCAACTGAAATGTCTGGTCCCATTGCTTACATTAATTTATTGCACAACGCCTTGCTAAGGTTCTTCAACAACAGACAATAGCAATTGCGGCGCTAAGGCAAATTACTCTTTCTTTAAGCAAATTGCTATGATGAACTATACGACCCGCTTCACCTCGTATATGTTAAAAACTGTCCTTAAGGGTCAATTGATAAAATTCTACACTTCTAGGAAGGAGGGAACGCCAGTGCTATTCTGTATGTCCTTGCCCCTCTATAGAGCTCCTGCCTCTTAAGATGTTTTTTGAATACTCAAAATCTCCTCAATTTTAAATGTTTTCTTGTTTTACCAGAAAAATTACGAAACAATAACTAGAGTACTCGTTTAAGGCCTCGTACCATCAATCAATAAAATACTTGTTCATGAAAGTTTCAAAATTCAAAAGACTTCAGGAAAGAGTACTTATTTATTTCTGCAGCGACCCACTCCTTCTCCTCGTCGGTCCAAATCACCTGATCCCGAGCCCTCGTCGACTCCTTATTAAGTTCTTTTTCAACTTTATCGAGATAGCTATTATAACATGTAACCTGTAGGAATCTACAAATTTGTATCATGGTCTCCCTTGGATTATTGATATAATCGTCAGTAGAAATGTCTAATACTGCATCACCATATAGTTTCCTTATTTGTGCATTTGTCTCCACAAGGGCGAAAACATCCTTCGCGTCATTTATCTGGTAATGAAATAAAGGTGGAAAATTCAATCAAAATGCTACATTTCAGCATAAAAAGAGACATTACAAGCTCTCCCCGTTTGTAAGGAAAACCAGTATTCTACGGTGGGAACGAACATCTCCATTTTCTTGAAAAAAATGGTGATTATTTCAAAGATACTCCTCAAAAGTTTTTTCGACGTTTTAGTAATTTAATTGACTGTTTTTTTTTCTGGCTTTTTTTGGCGCAAATTAAATCGCTAAATAAACTTTTAAAAACCTTTTCGAAAGGAACATGTCTTTTCTCCAGTCTGTTGGAGGAAAAAACAATTGTTCCGCTCCATAAGTAGGAAAATTTTCATCTGTCTAATGATTTTCGTAAAAATGGAAACGGCCTCATATCTCGTCCATTTTGGTATCAGTCATTCTTGTCTACCTTAATTAATATAAGAAAAGTTGATCGGTGATTCAATTGCAAACAAATGACCAATCGTGGCTCACCTCTACGGCAGATCTGGACTGTCTCATTACATTCAAAGCAATAACTTCGTATGGGTTTGTAATAGTGTGAAGAAATTTCAGTGGAATACCAATGACATTTTGGATGTCTTCAAGAACGGTAAAGTTTCCTTGGTTCCTGGTAAGTTGTCTAGTGGTTGAACCACTACTGGTGTCACCAATAACCTGCAAGAAAAGTTAATGGTTTCGTTCTTACCCGATGAGTCAGTTATACACGTATACTTATAGGCGAAAGGAAAATCATTAATCCTTGTTGATAGCGAGTAATAATTTCGACGACTGACGTTTCTAAACTGATTGTGAATTTACCAAGCCAGCATGGAATCAATCTAGAATTTCTGCTCTATGATTATCCTTATACATGACTACACAAGTGGTATCATTTGGTGAATTATGCAGGTTGTCAAAGCATTCCAGGCGATAAAAGCATTATAAAAATATTTCCCAAGAATTAGGAGAAAGACAAGTTTCTGATTATCTAAGTGTGCGAAAACTAGCTATGAAATAGTTGGAACTTATCATTCATGATTCATGCCTTTCAGGTGTCAATGCCTTTGATTCAAGTCTATGAAAATTACTCTCCCGAACTTAAATTGAGCAATACTGTATCTAACGGATGGACCAATTTCATATCAATGCAAATTAAGGCTAAAAAATGTGAACAACAACAGGAAGTTATTGACATCGTTTTCCCGTCGGGTAAATTCCTAGGCCCCTTCATTGAAAACTCGCTCTCATTCACATTCAAGAGGTCGATAATTATGATGAATTAGTAGCTTACTATCTAACCCCAATTAGCATATACCACACAGGTTAATAGCGCTTTTCGTGCGCGCTGATCGGCTGCTACGGAGCCGAAGAGACAAAATCAGTCGTCAGTAATTTAATTTACGACCATTTTTTGGTACATTGACAGAGATGAACGAATTTTTTGGTTACCTGTGGTATATGCTAAAACAGTTATTCACCTCAGTGTCAATGGGAGTGGAAGATATTTAATTCTACTTCGATGAAAAGTTGTAAATTATCGTTTAAATTCCTATTGATGAAGCTGCTAATAATTTCATCTTTTCACAGACGTATGTACACAAAAGCACCTAATAGTCAAAATCGGAAATTTTCTGTTTGTCTTTCTGTGTCAAATATATGCAGAAAAGGTTAATGGGTTTAAAACTAAAAGAACATTGATTTTGTCTAAGAAAATTTACTTGTAATTTGTTTGATTGATGTCTAACATTCATTTTTAGTTTGTTCTTAGCTTACCTTAATCTTGCCATTTGTTATCCCCTGCCATGTATCAGAAAGTGGGTAATACCGAGCACTCTCGACTTTGGATGTCCATACCCAGAACTGGCTTGGTTTATTAGCTTGGTTTCGAAAAATAGCTTGAAAAGTGGAAAGATAATGCAAGAAGAAAAACAGCATATACTTTTGCTTGCCGCGTTCCCTGAGCTTCTTGTTTTGATACATTTTCCAGTTCCCTAAGACATCGTACTCTTGCGGAAGGATAATCTGAGGATGCGCATCCAATATGGCGCCAGTACGACTCTCTATAGTCTGTGAGTATCCAATAAACATCACGAATGTCTTGAGATCATCAAACATTCCGTTTAGCCTTGCTATGCTGTCAAGTAGAGGCTCTGGCTTACAAGACGTCCCTAGCATTGAAAATCAGGAATGAGATACAGAAGAGAAGCTTACGGCGGTGCAAGATTGCACTCAATTTACGATCCGTAAAGGATTAATTTACCTAATTAAAAATTAAGGGCATGGGTCTTTCATTGGAAACATGTGAAAGCCAATTTAAAAAAAAGGCAGACTCGATGACGAAATTTCCCCAGCCAGAGACCTTCGCCTATTTCGAGTTTGGTATTTGCAATCACCCGTGTCACATTTTCTCATAGGGTAACACTCGGTATTTCTCAATTGAGAATGTGGGTAGTACCCGAGTAAAATGATCGTCTGGGTCGTCTGAGCCGTCTGATGCCGCTGATTTGAAGCATTGTCTAGAACAGCCAATGAAGTCGCTTTATGGAATAATCCGCGTTCGCCCGCGAGTAACAAATTCCACAACGTGCCTTCTAGTAAGCTTCCAGCAAGATAGTAGTTGTTCTTCGTGAGGAAATACAATGGCGAAACGTACTCGTATCTCAGATGACAGAGAGGTATTTTAGAGCGGTTTTTCGAAGAAGGGATGGTTGGAACGGGAACCATGTACAAGGAGATGGTTTTAAAAGCGTCAACGGACACTGGTTTGACGAAGGCACAAGTCGAGGTAAGCTTAATCATTTTGTTAACCTCAGCTGTAGCTTTATACCAGGTTGTGCCTCATTTTATCTCAATAATTCCACGAATCAAGCAAAACTAGCAATTTATATAGATCGTAGATGCATTTATACGTCAATAATAGCCTAACGGTTAAAGTTTATTAGATGTTGTTTTAGATCGTGATCAGGTACAGTTACAGACGGTTAACTCTGCTTTACTCAGGCTAAAGATCATTCACGTTCATCATACGCGTGTATTTACCTTTCAAGGTAATCCATTGAATTCCGAAATGTAAGGTTTTTATTTAAAAACATTATAAACATAAGAAGATCATATGCAAAGATGAGGACTTCAACTGTACAAATTTAAGATAGTTCAGTTGTATTGTAATTATTTTTATTATTCAACCATACTGTAACTAATGGTCAGGCATTATTGTAGTATTTCTCAATAGTTCTGATGCAAACCTCCTCTTTCTCCTCCTCTCCTCTCCTTTTCCACATAATAACACTTATGGTCTTTGATCAAAATGAATATTAAATAGTTTATGCATGTTTATTCAGTTGTCATCAGTGGTTTATTAATACTAATTTTAACATAATGAGTAATATAACAATTACACTGAATGATTTTTGCAGAAGTGGATTGGGAATCAGAAAAGAAAAAGGCCACAAGAATCATCTTCTTCTGCAGATGTCACATTAAAAAGAATCAAAGGTGTCAAAGGACCAAATTCTTACAATTTATTTTGTGCTGAATTCTTTAACACAGGTACTTGTATTAGAAGGAAAATATATTTGATTTACATGTACTCAGTCATTTTCTTACAACACCGATATTGTCATTATTTTTCATTTCACTCCTGTTTTATCCATACTTAAACATGTACATGTGCAGTCAATTGTGGCTTAATGCTATATTCTTAAATAGGATTTAGCATTAAATACAGCTGTGGGTATGGTCCTGGGTTCAAATACTGTTTCAAGCAGGGATATAGACAATATTGTTAGCACACGGGAAGATCATCAACGTGACTTGATGGCCTCGGCATTTGCAGGGTTTTTGGCTTAAATGGGAAAACTAACAGTCATGAAGATTTCTGCAATGTGCGGTGTAACTGGAAATTAGAATATCAGGATAGATAGCATTTAAATTCAACACTTGCTAAGATTTGAAGGCCAGCACTCCAAACATTTGGATGCGCTGAACCACTGCCTCCTTCTCCAGAATGTAAATGAGCAATTGTCAATATTATATTAAAAATAAAGAATTTATTCATACTAGAAAATCTATCAGTATATTAAAAAACACTGGTCTTATAAAGAACACCACTGTAATAATAAAACTACTCACAAAAGTAGGCTGCAAAGGTGGTGTCATTTCCAAAATCAATTCTGAAAACTTCTTTACAGACACCTGACTGTGCAGGAATAACTTTTCAGCAAGGTCTATTAATTTAAAATGGAAGCCCACGGACGGTCTCTCAGGTGAACCTGGCCAGAACTGACAACGTACCAAAGTAACCGCATGGCTTTCACAGTCACAGACGGCGACTTCCTTCAGGTGCTGGTAACCTATATGTAGAAACAAGAAGCAAGGGATGTACACACACAAACACAATGAAGATAAAATCGTAAATCATTGAAGATAGTGCAGCACCAACACTGGGCAAAAGCATTTGTCTTCAAAACCTCTGACAATTGCAAACGTTTTGAAACCTTGTTTACCTTTGCTTTCGAAAGTCAACATTGTGCAAGCTTTGACTTTGTGTCCAACTTACCGAAGGCATCTATTAGTTTGAATCATTTGAGGATTCTTGTAGAACAAGAATGGCCGGATTCAGTTGCACCAGGATTAGGGAATAATGGAATGAATCTGTTATCCTTTAAAGAAATTGAAACAGGACAGTTAGTTTATAGATTTGTCCTTGTTTTCTAAATACATGCAATACTGCGTACGTGTCATCAATGCAAAACTTTGCTAATAGAGATTACAAAACAGTGCGTTAATCCATCAGCTTATTGAGGTTTGACAGCTGTATTTCCATATTTTAATTATACAAACAATTGGAATATATGCAAGCAGTGGTTGATAAATACCTTCCATTGCTCCAGAACGTGGAATTGATTCCTTTTCACGTGCAAATCATGAGCACAGATTAAACAAAAAAATTGCCTCGGGCCGCAGTACCGACATCGCACAGTCGCCTCTCGTTGTTTGCATACGGCACAAACATATTTCTCCGGGAGAGTTTCTTCCCCCACTGCTGTTGTGAACAGTTTATCCCGTATTTTTTCCCAGTTAGCTACGGAGCTGTAGTTTCTTCGATGAGCTTCAGAATGTTGAGCCTCATCAGGTGAAAATACGGGAATGTCGGGGTCATCGACAGCTTCAAGGAGCGAAGAGCTTCCTTGGTTCGGCTGAGAACCAGCTGTGTTTGAGCTGAACGTTAACGGAGTATGAATAACGGTCTTCCCAGTTCTTCAGAGGACAATTGTTTTCACAGAAACAGGTTTGAACTTCTTCATAACTCACGAAATTAAACAACGGGGTAAACTTTAAAATGACGATCAAAGCAAATAGCGAAACTACTCGGTCTTCTAGTACCGCACCAGACGGCTCAGATGATCATTTCACTTGAGTACTACCCACATTCTCAATTGAGAAATATTGGGTGTTACCCTATGAGAATATGTGACACGGGTGTTGCAATCACCATACGTCGCTGAACGCGAGGATCATTACGTCATTTTATCAAATTTTCGGACTCAAATTTCTTTCTATTCCGAAAAAATCCTGGAGAAGCCAAAAATTATTTGAATCATCAAATAATAACATACCTAGGGGGTTGAAAAATTGCTTTGCAACCTGCGTCTCCTTGAAAATATTGCTGTCTTCCGTTACAAATGATTCTTGATACAAATTCCTTCCTGCAATTATCATCAGACTTGCAACCCCAAGTAAGATAACAAGGCATTTGAGAGTACACAGGCGAATTTTCATCATTTTTGTCCTCACAAATTTTCCTGAGAGTTTAAAAAAGACATCTTATGTTAAGTGAAACGATATCGATTGCATAGTTCTCAGTGGTGAAGCTGCACTTGATACCTGAAAATAAATCACTCATTTAACTTAAAATAAGCAGACAGTTATTTCCATAAAAAATATCGATTTAAGACAGAGTTTCTATTTCCCTCTCTAGATTATATATAGATCTAGAATCATTTCATCGAAACTGGGGAACAGATTCTATCTAATTTATTTTTCATCTCATCTAACCTTACCACTTGTATCTCGTCGGGGATTTTGTTTTTTGTAGGCTAGGATTACTCAATTGTCTTTGCTCGTGCTTTTCGCTTTTTGCTGAATTTAGTTTTCGCGTTCTTGTAGCTCTGTTAATAAGGCTTATATTACGTACTTCTTTTATATTACAAATTAAGTTTTATTTTGCATTTTGTATATTTCGGCCCAGTGAATTATTTTCGTTAGTTCAGATAAAGTTCTACGGCATGTTTCAGTCAATCGTCTTTTACCGCTATCACTTTGTTAGGTTCGCTTCGTTTCACTTGGTTTTGTATTGATTCGTTTGTTTTGTATAGTCGATAAATAAACTATTTTGACCGCAATTTTTTCTATAAAGCGACTGTAAGTTGTGAGACCCTGAAAACAATTATGTTATTGTTATGAATGATTTTAGAAAATACAACTGGCCATGATGGTGAAATACTTCCTGGGGAAGTATGTGAGCAGTTAAGACTCATCCTTTGAAATAAACACCTTCAGTTTAATATAAATGAATAATTGTATATAGGTAATCTGACTTCTTGTCATCACTTCAAGTAAAGCCTAATGAGAAGGGCGGGAAACGGGAGAATAATAAATAATTGATGGACAGTAATCTCGACTGAATACTTTTTATATAAGCTTTAGAAATGAGCTCGTTTTATCCGTCAGTTGCATTTGTAAAGGAATAATAATATATAGATTTAGCCAAGCCTAAGAGCGGAGCTCGCATATTTTTTTTCCGCACATCTCAAGGGCACAACGCCTTGTCCCGGCCAGGACTAGAACCCGGGTCGTCCAACTCGGAGCCCAGTGCACTGACCACTGGACTACTGGACAAAGCCGTGGCGTTGGCGTGCCCGCGGTACAGTTGACCACGCATGTTAAAAGTAGCACCTTGTACGGTCGGTCGTACGATCGTACGGTCGTACGGTCATATGTCCAAATTTTTTCGGCTTGATGGGTTACTACTACCATTTTGTATAATTATGGGGCTACGCTCTGCGAGCTCCGCTATTAGTGATCATTGCTGCGTAGATCGGAAAGTATTTATGACAAAGGATTTCGCTGACTTCCTCATTAAACAAAATTCTGCTAATTCTCCCTTTCACACATCAGACATAGTTTGAAGCTACACTGGTTTGCAGATTTAATGAATGTGACCGAAGTTACAATTCATAGACCCAACGTTTCGACACTCCTGTCTAGTGCCTTCATCAGGGGTGATCTAAACGCTGCAACAAGAGGTCCTTTTATATGATCACTAATTAGCGGCCTTTTTTTTCTGACGAGGTGTAAATAAGCCGCTATCGTCACGATTTAAAGGAGCGTGGGCGGAGTAATGTGCCATCCAAACAAAGGCGCTGGTGGTAACGCCGATTAGTAGTGATAATTTTATGTATGGTTAGTTAGGCATGTGTGCTCCGATAAAGCTGAATTTTCCTTTTTGCAAAGGAAAACCGCTCTTTGGTGCTCTTTAACCGTGTACCAAATCACAGTCATTGCAAGGAATAGAAAAAATGGCGTCGGTTCGTTGTTCTTTCGTGACAGGATCCTTAGGATCCTCAGGATCTCCCTTTCACGTTTTTGAAGTATACAAAAGAATTTCAAAGATTCGAAAATGGAAGAACAAAAGAAAAAATGATTTCACGCACAAACCGACTTGAACTTTCATAACAAGGGGAAAGGATGGCTGGTCATGGAATTGTCAACTGTACTAAACAATGTACATGAGCACCATCGACATCACAAAAATGAAAGTGTCACTATCTTTTATCATGAAAAGCGCAGGACAAGACAAGATAAACAATTTTATATTTACATAAAATTTAACTTTTCTCTGATTTCTGACAAACATGTAAATTTTCACTGACCCAAAGTGAAATTCCCTGACCTTTCCCTAAAATTGAGAAATTTCATTTTCCCTTATGTTTTCCTGGCCTGTGGCAGCAAGCATGATCAGTTGTGTGACTATAGATAAGACCTGAAGATTACTTGCATAAAACTAAATTTAGATATTTGGATTGTAACCGTAAGTCGCGGTTTAGATTTATGCAGAATGGCTCTCATAAAGAAGATTCGGTTTAAGTTAGAGCCTAAGAGCATATTATCTATCACGTAATTAAGGATTGTTTTTCAAATTTAAGACTCATGCCAATGAAAAAATAAAGAGCGTGTCTCTTTTAAAAAAAGAATGCAGATATTTCTCCTTTTCACTCGATAATAGCAATTACTTGGAGAATAACCATTTTTCGACTGAAATACCTAACAAGCCAGGTATTCCATTAAATTTGTGATTTAAAATTCGAAATATTCTTTTAAAGTAAAAGATCTAACTCACCGCTAGTCGTGAATGAGGATAGAAGAGTTGATTCATACACTGATGCTGAGTGACATTTACCCTTAAAAACGAAACGCGGAAAATAGACTTGAAACTAATTATCGACAAACTGAAAAGTAGTTGCTAGGAAATTATGGGGAACTTCGAAGCATGCATAAAGGACTGTCTTTGTCTCCTTTTTTAAGTATGCGTTGCTGTAAGATTTTCATGATATCCGGAAGAAAAATAATACATTGCTGTTACGCCCATTTTCGAGGTTTTTTAAGACTGCTATAGGACCAGTCCTTTGCCGGCTTTGTGAAAATGTTTGCACGACTTAAACTGCTTCGAGGCGACGAAAGCCATGTCAGCCTTATTTAAATCATAAAAAGAAAACAAACATGAGTCACTGCGCTGATCATGAAACAGATTATAATAAAGTTCGGATATAACGCGCGGTTTCATTGGTTGAAAGAACGCGCTCTATCAGAGTACAAAGCATAGAGCTTGGTTAAAGCTGTCACGCCATCTGCCAGTTTGTACTATGTCCGACCTTTTCCGGGACTTCTCTCTAGATTTTTTTGTTAATTAAAAGTGATATTTCGGAGCAGGCAAGCCGGCAAGTAGCAACAGAAGAACCAATTAAAGGTTTTTAAACATGGCAAGCGCCATAATTTGCGTTATTATAACATGAGCAGAGGCGAAAATCCTCAAAGAGAAAACGAAATGGACAGTCTGAATTTTAAAGGTTTTCACGCTCAGTTAGATTGCAAGCTTACGTACGGTAAAATAAATCAAACACAGCTAACACTCATACAGTATATTAATTTTACTTTCGTGTTCAAAAACAAAACAGAACAAAACAGTAATGATGAAGAATATAGTTAGACTGGCATAATTGTTTAAATTCATGCTAATCAGGACGGCGTTAGAGCGTTTCCGATCATGCTGAGGTCCATCGGGGTTAGCTCATCATGGCGATCTCCGGTCATCGCAGTGAAACAAGCCTCAGAAATTACATCGGCCGCCCTTCGAGTCAATAACTAACAGCCTACAGTTCTTTCCGATGCGTTGAGTGGAAGGCCACATCAGTCACACCGAGTTTTACGGCGCTGTCATCCCGAGCAATCTTCATGTTCCCGTAAATTCGGCTGTCCTTCATTCATAAAAGGCAAGCCTTGAGCAGTTTGTTTTTTACTTGTCATGTGAAAAACACTTGCGTGTTTTTATAAGCCACAATTAGGCCGGATTTCACTGGACGTTTCACTTTCAGATTATGTATAAGTAACTAAAAAAACTTCAGGCAGAAATTCGACCTGCCGAACTACTTCAGTTCGTAAACTACTTTAGATGGTGAACTTTGGTGGTTTTACATTTTTGACAGCTTTAGTCTTTTTCAACCAATCAGATTATTTGAAACATTCTAACAAGGATTCTGAGTAGCTTATTGTAGCGTGCTTTATGAGAGTAGAGAGCATGTTGACGACACTGTCTTTCGCTTTGGAAATGAAGGTTGTTTTGAAAATTATATTTTTTTATTTATTATAAAAACAACAGAGGAGCCTTGACTATGCTCTGTTCTGTTGTAAAGCACTTAGGAAGCGACCAGAGTACTCAAGAAGTCGGGAAATTTTTTCGCATACGTCCCGTGTTTCTCCCTACACTTCTTTCTTGCTCTAGCCGCTTCCTGCGTGCGTTACCGCAGAACAGAGCACAGTCAAGGCTGTTCAAAAAAATTAGGCCTTTTGCCTCACTGATCAACTGTTTGATTTATTTTTAATGTGACTATGTAGCCTGTCATTTTGTGAATAAAACCATAATTTTAGAATTATAATAGCCGTACTTACTGATGACGGTCACTAAAGCCTGGATAAGGCTTGGGTAAATTATATTTTCCTATGATTAAAAAGACTCAGTAAAGCACATAGTCTGTACAGATAACATAAGAAACGTCTTTTAAGTGTAAAAGCAGTTGAAAATAACAGCTTACTGAGGCACTGCCCTCAGCATCTTAATTCTTAAAAATGTGAATGTCGTTATCCTTAAATCAAAATTATAATTAACAATACGTCTTTTGGAGAAGTCAACTACATATGTAATGTAAAGAATAGTGAATATTTAACAATTATTCTACGAGAGCGCACCGAGTATGAGATAATAAATGACTAACGTGGCGCGTTGGTTTTACTAATGTCATAATCGGCAGGCCTGGGCAGAGTGACTGTTCTAGTAAAAATACGCATAAAAGATAATTCCACCAACTAGCTTTTAGTTCGTTTAAGAACAAGTCTCCGTGAGAATCAAACATCTAGGGAAATAAAAATTTTCAACCCCCCTTCAAATTTTGCATGCAGTTAGGCACTCAGGGGGATGCATAAAAAGCCCTTTTTAAAGGTCGCAGCACTCTTGTTGCCATGGTAACAACGGCTGCTTGTTCGAGGCTCAAAGCCTCATTTTCATACAAAAACTTCGCAAAAAAAGAGTGAAATGTTTATTTCTCTATCTCAAGCTAAATACAACATTACAAATTGGCACTTCTACCATACATAGTGACATCACACACCAAGAGATTATTCATCTCGGTACAGTTTCGGTCATTTTTGTTGTCGGGTAAAACAGGGAAAACGTTATCTGAATTTCTCCAAAAGTACACCGATTCTGGAATTGAAACTACCCACCTAGCTGGTTATAATATTTTAGTTTTTAAATATGTAAAAATCTCTGCGGGCCTACCTCTACTTTTAATAGGGGCAATACGCGAAAAAAGCTCAAAATCAGATATTGCATAATTTGGTGATGTTTACATCTAATGTTCTCAACAACAAATGTTTCAGACAAATGAAACATGCTTTGGAAGAAATTTATCTTATGAGCAATATCCCGAAGAGAAATCTCGCCTCTGGTTGTCATCTTTTAAAAAAAAATTGATCAAACTTCTTGGAGGACTACTCGACATAACTACAAACATATACCTCAAATCGTGTGCATAACATCCAGATTCCGAGTGCTGCACCTTCTTTCATGGGAATTTGAGCGATCCGAAGTCCTCTGAAGATACACTGATATACTTGTATGTCATTTGAAACAAGCTGAAGTCGGCTGATCTACACGAAATTATCCTCACACCGGTCATTTGTCATAAAAATGTACGTTGTCACGATGGCGTGACGCTGTATTTCTCTCTGAAGTTTCCATCGATCGCCCCAAAGAAGACGAGAAATGGACATTTTTGGATGTATCAGCAGATTTCCGCGCATTCTTAGTAAAAACAACTAAAAAAAAAAGAAGAAAACCTCAATTGAACGCTCGTAAACACTGAGAATCTAAGAGCAGAAATCGCAGCTTGTCAGCGGCAGTACTACATGTACAACCCAGTCGTCACAATAGCAATTTGTACTACTCGCGCGAAAATCATCACAAAGTGGAGATTTTGAACTACTCAGTATCCCTGCAGTACAGAAAACGGAACAGGAATTTCATCGCAATCAATTTCCAAAATTTAGCTTTATTCAGGGAGTCTTTCACGTGCTCGAACGTTGTATTGGCTTTGAGCCTTGAGATTCATTTCCCTTGACAATAAAATGCTATAGAAAGTGCTTACAAAATTACAAAGGAACTATTTTTGATGTCGCTTGGACCGAGAAATACAGATTTGAAATAATTAATGCTGTCACTGATCAACTAAAGGGCACAATCTTCTCAGCTATTAGCTTGATGGTCTCCACAGACTAACGTTATTAGACCGAACGATCTCCTTTTTCCTCCTGGTGAGCCGGCCACCTCAGGGGAAAATTAAAGAGACCGTTGACTTCCTCTCGTGTAAATCACTGGGAGATTGCGTTATATTCATCTTTCTTTAAGCTTGTAAAAGATATCCGGGAGAAAAGTATGGAAAATAATGGTGATGAAATCGCTGTTCTTTTTCCTGAAGGACATGAAGCAATCCGGATTACATATTAACCATGGGCAGTTTCGTTCAAGTGACAAGTTGCGATTTGCGTGTGGATAATAAGTTGTTTGAAAGGTGGAATTATGATATTATGATTTCATTAAATCTTTTATTTCGAACTTTGTTATGATTTTTTCTTTATCAAGACATAGAAGGAAACATTGATTGACTCGATAGCACTGCGGCGGTGATAAGTCTCTCCTCGTCATATCTTATGCAAATTTTTTAACAGTTTTCTGACAGTTTTCAGATGATTTGAAATATCTTAGTTCCTGTCACAAGGAAATGATAACTGCCCATATCTGCTCTTGCCTATCTAGATGCCTATGTCGTTCAAATTGATTTGGTTGCAACTGGGTTTTACCTGTAGTACAGCCGCTGACAAGTTACGATTTATACTCTTAGATTCTCAGTGTTTACGAGCGTTCAATCAAGGTTTTCCTCTTTTTTTTTTTTTTTTGGTTGTTTTTCCTTCAGAAAGCGGAAAATGAAAAATATCAATTTCCTGTCTTCTTTGGAGCGACCGACGGAAACTTCATGGAGAAATACAGCGTCACGCCATCGTGATAACGTACATGTTTATGACAATGATCGGTGTGAGGATACTTTAGTGTAGATCAGCCGACTTCAACATGTTTCAAATGACATATAGGTATATCAGTGTATCTTCAGAGGACTTCGGGTTGCTCAAATTCCATTAAAGAAGGTGCAGCACTCGGAATCTGGATGATATGCACACGATTTGAGGTATATGTTTAAAGTTACGTCGAGTAGTCCTCCATTAGGTTTGATCAATTTTTTTTAAAAGATGACAACCAGAGGCGAGATTTCTCTTCGGGATATTGCTCATAAGATAACATTCTTCCAAAGCCGTGCATGTTTTATTTGTCTGAAACATTTGTTGTTGAGAACATGTAAACATCGCCAAATTATACAATATCTGATTTTGAGCTTTTTTCGCGAATTGCCTCTATAAAAAGTAGAGGCAGGCCCGCAGAGATTTTACATATTTAAAATTTGTTTGATTCTTACAGAGACTTGTTCTTAACAACAACTGACTGAATTGTGCCTTTAAACTCTCTAACCTCCTTAGGCCATTCGCTTAGACCGAGACATTCATTAGAAAGTTTCTTGTTTAATAAGGTATGATATATGATACCTAGGTAAAACAAACTCACCAAAACGTGAACCAGAATTTAGGCTGGAATCGAAACAAATCTGCTAACTAAACATTTGATCTAATCGCAAGAGTTTTTTAATTCAATACGCTGAACCTGGATGGATACGAAGTTATAATAGGTCGAAACCACAATGAACCGGCAGCCTTACAAGGACCATAATAATGTTACAACCTTTTTGGAGGTATAATGATTACAACTAATTCAGTGAAATCTTCGTGACAGAGCAAACTTGTTTATTCATCCGAGGCCACCTATCATAATCCTTAACGCAAGTCACCTGCTCCACCTCTGCATTTCGATCCTTTATGATCTCTATGCCTTGCCACTTAAACGGTTTCTTCGGTTTACCACCCGCTTTGATTCATCTAGTGATAAGCTTCCTGATTTCATCTCTAAACTCCTGCAATCGTATTGCATACACGAAAGGATTAACAATTGAATTCAAATGATAAAGTGCCGCCAATGCCAAGTCAATGTGGATCGAAATGCTGGTCAATCTATCTGGTGTTTCGACTGGCAGGGCAGAATTGATGGCGAAAGGCAGAATAGTCAGTACAGAAACTCCAGTGGCTATGAAAAGTGTAACTGTAAGCTTCCGTTCTTTGAGTAATGAGCCACATGGTGGAGAGTGACGGCTGCTTTGAACCTTTATGACAACTGCTATGTGAGAAACCGCGATAAAAACCACAAAAAGCGCAATCAATGTGCCGTGAACGTACAAGAACTCTGGATGAATGTCTGCGATGTCCAACCAAGCCATAATAGCTGTCAAGAAGAAGTTAATCAACCAACTGCCCATGATACCTCTATAGTAAAACCATTTTCCAATCAAGCAATGTCTGAATGGGAAAAGGGTTGCATGTAGGCGCTCCATGGAAATCAAACAAAGATTCACTTGCGAGGCTAGCGGGAAGATGAATATAATTGTTGTTTTAAGGACTCCTAAGTAGACGACTCGGTCTTCATCTTTATGAAAATACAGTACTGAAATAGGCACCGTCAGGGCGCCCACCAACAAATCTGCCACAGCTAAGTTTATTATTAGGTACGTACTGCGCTTGCGTAGATGGTGGATTTTAGCAAATGCCAAAAGAGTGAGGGCGTTGCTTATCACGATCACGATAGACTCGGCGATAAATAAGACAATCCAGGCATTACTGCTGTGTACAGGGTCTTCCGTGCTCATCTCTTTGGATGACTGAGCCCAATATATATTAGTCTGCCATATGTGATTTCTCTCAAGCTAGCATAAAAAAATATAAACATAAGCAATGAAAAAGAAAACTGTAAGACTACGACTATTTGAATTGCAAACCTTGTTAACGGGAACATCTTCAAGCAGTACTTTGGCAGTTAGTAATTTATGTCGTCTAGTTAAGCAAATTTTACCGTTTTTGGACTTCAATGAAAATAAGGACTGACACTGCACGTGGCAACACAATTCCTTGATGGGCAACCGGTCGGGGACGAATAATTTTTCGCCAGATTTTCATTAAATTTACATCCATATATAAAAGTGAACAACGATACATGTCAAGGCGGGGGTGCCTATAAACCTACTTCCTTGCAAGCTAATTTTCAAGATATCCTGTAGAATTAAAGGGGCTCAGATCTCGACTCGCACAGGCACACTGAAAATCAACAAACCTGTAGAAACGTCAGGTCGCGTTGCTCAGCTATTACGTCGAGTTTCATGCAGATTGGTCAATCATACTTTATAGCAACCACCAAAAGGTTCACGCATGCAAATGAAAGGAGCTATATGGAAACGCCTTCAAAAGTTAAAGCCTTTTATCCTGGAACTATGGGAACTTAAAATATAGAACTAACAATGTTAATGAAGAGGACAAACACAGCACTTTTGAGGAGACAGTTTCATTTGCATCTTGTAAAACCCATGATGACGCGAGGTGAAGTGGCTTTTTACCTTCGTAAAGTCTGCAACGGCATGCAACCTTTGTTAAAAATCGAACGATTGAGAAGCCGCAAGCGCCCTGGAAGATTCCTTTAACTGGCAACGAATAACTGATGTTTACAAAATTTTGTAAAAGAAAAATGTTTGTTTTCTGAATCCCTTTTAAAAATATGTTCTTTATGCTTCACGCAAGCAAACCTCGCAGCAGGCAGCTGAAGTTCTCTTAGACCAGTGTTCGAAGACTTAGCGACATAAAAACACGATGGTAATGGCCACCACGTCGAAGGTTAGTGGTGCTTCGCTCTCACCAGTTTCTTGGTTCCTAAAGGGCGATCACGAGTCATGACCTAGCCTCCTATACGCAACGGGTATAAGAATATAATCACGGTTAAAACAATGAATAAAAATAAGGGTTATTTTTTTGCTTTTCCTAATAATGGTGAAATCGATCCAATATAAAAAGAGACTGACTTTCTTAATTAAAGAAACGCAAACATTTTTGGAGCCTGAAAGTCTGATAACAAACGGAAATTTATCCTTCTTTTGCGGGCTGTCGCAATTTTCATGCTTATTCAACTCCTGTTGAACTAAGAAATTCGTAGGAAGGCCACAACAAGAATTCTAAAATGCGCCGCAGACGAAATTACTCATGACCAGTGGTAGTATAAGATAGGTCGGCTCTTTCACCTAGACTGTCTTATTTGGACTTGGAAAGAGAGGTATTTCTCAACCAGCTTAAACGACAGCAACCTCAGCCAAATTTACATATGTACGGCCGATTGTATGATAAAGTGATTTTTTTGCATGTTGTCTGTGACGTTTTCATCCTGAGAAACATAATCCTGCACAGAATTTAGAATAAATCTCTAGAAAGCTTCGCTGAAAGCAACATATTCTAGAATATTGATGCAGCTGCTATGAACAGAATTTGACGCTTAGAACACGTCACTTTCGGTCGAGACGTTTTCAACTTATGAAAATTACTTCCAACTAACCTTCCTCGGTGTCTCCAACTAGGGTTCTATTCTGTTGGACTTAATTTGAATCTGACTAAAACTTTCTTTCTTATTTGTTATGTTCATGCAGGATGACAGTTGATCGATATCAAGTTCGTTTCACTTTAGACTTAAATTAAACCAGTAATTAAAAACGGCCCAAAACGTCAAACATCAATCAGTTTAGAATCACGAATAATACAATTCCGTTGTAGCTTGATTCAATATTCATGAAAATTGGAAATTTGTGGTGATCGGAAATTATGACTGTTGCCTGACCAAGCAATTGGCGATGTCCATCCCTGTAGACATAATTGTCTACTCCTCTAAAAGCCATCTTCATTCCCTTCTCTTTTTATAAACCTTTCATAATTCAGTCATCCCCTAGAACACTTTTGTCGGTTGATATGTACTCAAAGGATATCATTTACCGCGGAGTAATTTGACAGGCACTCGCAAATTATTATTTTTTCCTGAAACTCTTCTCTCCAATATAAGTGCTCTACCTTCTTGGGGTTGGACTGTAGTAACGAAGGTAAAACGATAAGGTAAAATGTATCCTGCGGCCCATAAGCCATCCTATTATACGAATTTGAGTAGTTAAGTGTAGCCTGATTGAAAAACTGGCTAATTGTTCTTAAGCGGCAACTGGTAGAGAAAAGAAGATGGCAAATGGGAGAATGGTTACAACAGAAACTTCAGTAGCTATGAAAATTGTTACTGCAAGCTTTCTGTCCTTGAGGATTGAGCCACAAGGTGGAGAATGAATGCTATGTTGGATTCCTAAAATAACCATGATATGAGAAACTGCGACACAAATGAGAAAAAGCACAATCAGTCTACCTTGTACGTTCAAGAATTCTGGATGTACATCTTCTGAAGTCTGAACAGACCATTGCAGAAGCCACGATAAAGGTCATCAACAAACTGCTCATGATGCTTCTACAGTAGAACCATATCCTGATCAAATAGTGTAGCCGCTCCATGGAAATCAAACAAAGATTAACTTGTGAAGGTAACGGGAAGACGAACATAAGAGCTTGTTTAGGATATGATGGGCGAAACCTACCCCATTGGTGCCTGTACTGGCATAAATTACGCACGTCATTTCATTGGTGCACACTACATTTTTCAGCGGCTGCAAGCAAAGGTTGTTAAACTAACACTTGAAAACAAACTTCATAGTTGGATAGTCTCGAGCCTATGAAACAATTTGATATAAAATTTGTGGAAAAAATCACGCAATTTTAAACGACATAGACTCAAAACGTTCCTCGAATCGTCGCTTTCAAGGTAATAATTTCCATCCTCGAGTAACTAGTTTCGAACACGCTTATAGATATATCTTTTTCCCCCTTCAGTTTAAAGGGGGATACATGTAAGCCAAAACTATGAAATAAAAAATATCAGTCACCGTGCTCGCTCAAGAGCAAAAGACCACTGTACCTCTTTACCAGGTCCATTGATTGAAAAGCAATACCGCGCTCTCGGAATGCATGCGCGCTTATTCGCCTTTTCTACGTGATATCTATACGCAGTACAGGATGCGCAGTGCAACACTGATGAATTACCCTTGGTGCACCAACGGCCGATAGCAGACTACAAAATGTCCACTTTTGCCCGCTTTTCGTTTGCTGCTTGTTGCAAATGTCATGGTGAACGCTCCTGTAGCAGTCGCTTCAACAAACAGAGAAAAATTCTAAAAAGATTCTGATCAATGCTGAGATTGACCTCCAGCCTAATATTAAATATGCTTTATCCATCCCCGGAAGCGCTTTTTGAAATTAATTCCTGATAGCTACTTCATCTGAATTGTCTCTTTTGTACCATGGAGGAGGTTTTATGTCCCAAGCAAGGAGGATGATTGGCTCTCTTTGATTTAAGACTTTTTAGGGTAAAATGTAATCTCAGTGTTTCTGAATTTTTCGTTTCACCCAAACGCGGCATAATAACAATTGTTATGAACAGCGTTTGAGCCTTCGGTCACATTACTAAGATTTCGAGTGAAAGGCTTTCAACGTCAAAGAAATTACTTGTTACTCACCTTTGCAACGCATTTAATTAGGGGTTTTATCCTTAACGGAATCTGGATTAAACTTCATGTCTCAGGTTTCACGTTCACGTAGCATGACTTCTGACTGATATGAAGCGCTTTGTCTTTTAAGTTTTATTACATTAGAAATGAAAAGCGGCCTCAAACGGCAACGTCATATCTCGTTCATTTTTAAGGCCACACGACAACTTGATTACTTAAATGTCTTAAATGTTAAATAATAGTTTTACTTATAAAAAAGTCTTTTACTTTCCGTTACTTTCCTTTTTTTCAATTTATTGTCATTGACGAAGTATGGTACACTCGCCGAGGACTTTCGATTGCCAGCTCTCTTTCAGAAGGAAAAAGCCCTGACTGTTGATAATTTGATGCACGTTTTCTCGTGACAATTCATTTAATAAACAATCCTTCGAAATTAAAATTCATCACCTTCGATAAATTTTCCTTTCATGACAGGTGGTGATGTGGCGGAACAAATTTATCTCCCGTAAGTCAATAGTCATTAAAAGATGAAAAAACATATACAGAACGGCGATATCAAGACGCAAAAGGTAAGAAATGATGTTTTTAGCGTCCCATAGACACCCATAACAGAAAATGTACTTTAAAGGTTCGATAAAAAAAACCTAAAATAACAACACAAATACTTGGTATTTCTGGGAAGTGATATTCTTGTTACAGCTGTATTTTGTTGAGTCATGACAGTTTATAACTTTTTTTTTCGTTCATTGTTATGTTTGATTCAATTTGTGATTCTCAGTAACGACTGTATACGTTCGGTCTTGCCATAAATTTAGTACAGACGAGCAAATTCAAATATGTACATGGTTCAAGACTTCTTTTGCAAAGTTTAGTGGTACATGCGAACGTTTTTTGCCGTTCCTCGCAAATTCCATTTATCGTATGCAAAGACAAGCAAAATAAAAGAGAGTCATTGTGTTAAGCATTTGCCTACACTGCAGTTTACTGACTGAACGAACATTTACAAGCAAATCATTCTTCTTAACGACAGCATATTTTTCGGATTCAACGTATTCTACTTATTGCAGTTTGTATGCCTTAAAAACGACCTAATAGCGGGTGAGTGTCTAAAAAACTCTGGTGCTGCTTGTGAGGGGGGAGGGGAGGGGGGTGGAAGTATTATTAGATAATTTGGTTTATCCCCTGAATTTATAATGTAAGTTACATTGGCCAATTTACATTATCAACTCAGTTGATAAACCCAAAATGTTTTAGAGTAAAGTGGCTTTGCGAGACCCACCATGCA